GGGTCAAGACAATTTAACTGGGCCCATTTTTCTGAGGTATCAAGTTTATTATTTCACTTTATGAAAACATTCAAAATGTAGAGAGATTCCCGATGATTTCCCTTATTACTGAAGTCCTTAAGACTGCCTTTTCCTCAAACTAAGAGAACAGTGATTTTTTCCGAACCTCTCCCTTTTCTTGCTGGCCATATTGTACAGGATACTTCTAATTGAGAGAGACCAGCTACAGCAAGCATCTTCTAACCGCAAGCAGGCAGGTATCTGGGGAATGCTGAAGAGTGTAGCCTCATCGTCTGGAGGGGCCAGTATCCTTTTAAGGACAATGGGAACCTGTTGGGTGCTTGGCATCAGTGAAATGCCTCCGAACTTTAGACTTGAATCTGGGAATTTACAACTTCACAGGCCTTATTCTTGTGTGACAGATGATGCTTTGTTGAGTATAGGCAAAACAGGTAGAATGATCTGTCCAGAGATGCTAGAGCGCCCTCTGTTGACTGAGATTCCTGATGTTAGCGGTGTGAATGAAGCTCATCACATCTCGTGTACTTTCTCTCATGGTCAGGATTTACCTGAGTTGGGTCACGTAGCAAGGCACCTTTGGACTGACTCACACAGGAGGTGCTTCAACCTTGCCATCTTTGTGTTGACCTTACAATAAAACTTGGGTCCACACAGTGCAGCTTGCGTGAACCTTGTGTGGACTAAAGCCAGGTGCACACAAGGTTTCCACTTGCCAGAAACTCTCTCAGTGCCTTTTCTTATTTGGGGTTATTGGTAGCAAACTGAAGAGAAACATTCCAGGAAAACAACCAATATCCAGCTCAAAAGAGCATTTTGCAGTCCAAGGAGTTTCTTTGAGTTCATGTAACTACACAAACAACAAAAGAAGTCTGCAAAAGGTAAATATGAAGACACAAGTGCTCTGACGTCTGCAGATGTGGTACAGTGCCCATAAGTCTCATTTTTATCTGAATTTGCTTCAACCCGGTAAATTTTTTACTTTGGCATTATGCACATGGATCGTGTACTGTGTTTAGGGGACAGTTTCTTTGTCAAATTATGACCAAGTTGTGGGGGGCATTTTGTCGTTCCCACAATGTTTGCGGACTCCATAAAATCAGTGGAATAACGTGTTTGTCCCCACAACTACAGAACAACGTATGCGTTTTCATGTGTCTGCATAGCCTTTCTTCTTGTGATCAGTGAACAGGTCTTTTTTGCTAGAATGTGTTGTTCAGTGAATGGTGTCCATCCACATCTGGGATCGGCAGGAGATGGATGTCTGGTTCCAGAGATACTGCTGTCTAAATTGATTTTTGATGCTTTAGTAGATTGGTAGATTCCTTAACTCAGAGTTTGCGTGTCAGATCTGGGCCAGCTTCAACAGGAGGTTGCAGGATATGAAGAATTGAGCCGACAGCTGTTCCTGGAGTTAGTTGACCTCAACAGCACGAAGGTATCCAATATCAGTACACCCACTGTTGGGTTGCTGTTGTACAGAAAAGCCACAGAGAGAGGTGGTCCAAATAGCTTGGTCTCTGTCTCCGTCTCAGCTTCAGACTTCATTTTTATGAAGTCGGTTTCCTGAGTTGACACCCTCATTAAAGCTCAATGAAAGGCCCTTTCTTTACTGTCTTAGTGCGTATTAACAAGTTCAAGGTTTGGAGGATTACTGTTTGTTTGTAAATGTCAGAAAAACTGATCCCAATCTTGAGAAAGTGACAGAGAGAGAGAATCAAAGCCAAAATTTGAAAAACCATTTTAGAATCCTTCCTTGGCATTCAGACATGGTGGCTTGGATTACACTGAAGGCTGTCACAACACACCGACCAAAACATTGAGAGCTAACGTCTTAGGTTCTCAGTCATTTCACATGCTGTATCTACATACTTCTCCCAAGTTATACAACCACCATGCAGAATACATTGGAAGTTATCAGTCTTGTGAATTAACATGCACAGAAGAAACTCTGGACCCGTTTGTACTTACCATCCTCCCATATGTTCCTACCCAGTCCTAGGGGATGAACATGTTCTTGACAGATTCGGATGCAATTTTTAATAAATACAAATCATTTAACTTGATTTTCCTAAATTTCAACCATTTTAGTTTTTGAAACTGTCATTGATTTGATCATTGCGGTTATGCCATTTCCGTTTTTACTTAGAGAGAAAATGCAGGGTTTGTTCAGTGAATCTTTCCCTTAGAAACCGCACCCCCTCTAATGTTCAATTCTTCACTTTGTCTCTGGTCACTAGGAGCGCATTGAATATTCCAAAACTCTGCAAGGCAAGTACTTCAACATCATGGGCTACGTCTTCTCTATGTACTGCCTCTGGAAGATTGTCATCTGCACCGTCAACATCATCTTTGATCGAGTCGGGAAGACGGACCCTGTGACTAAAGGTGTTGATATCGCCGTCCACTGGTTGGGCATTGAGTTTGATGTGAGTTTACATCCGGGCCCATTGTCATGACCCTGCTATGCACATGATTTTACACTTACATGAGCTGAGCAAATTTCATGGAGACTCCAAGCGGGAAGCACAGCCAAAGGCACCCTCAACTCGGAGGAAAGATTTTCCCAATTGAGCAAAGTAACAATCAAACTCTCTGTGCACACACAACCATTTGCACAACCATGCCAAGCACTGCTATGGTTAGCAATATTTGTGCTATAGTAAGCACAAGTTTTCTGCTTACTGTTAAACGGCTCTCTGAAAGTGAACCCTGTTTATGGAAGGATCTCCTGGTAATGATTTCTTGTTGTGCAGCTGATGCGTTGGAATTATAATTTGGCTGGGAATGAAAGTTAGGGCTGCGGCAGAAACAACATCACTCCTACAGTATGTAAGCCACTGGCTGTAGCTGCAGCCACTTCCTGTAGACCTGTGTTACTCCGAGTCATTTGTTAAGTATATTTTTTAAATTTAATTCTTCTGCCATGGTTTCACAAGATAGCTCCCTGAATCTGTTCAAGATTTTTATTCAGTAAATTAATCCAAGTGTTGTTGTCGACCTACAATCATTTGTTGACCGTTATTTCACATCTGTCTTTTTCAGGTTACATTTTGGTCCCAGCACGTATCCTTCATTCTGGTTGGTATCATCATTGTCACTTCAATACGCGGTTTACTTATTAAACTTACAAAGGTAAGAACAAGTGTCAACATGGCAACTGTAAAAAACTGAATACATGTACCACAAGTAGTCAGTTGTGATGTTACTGTAGCATGGAGTGTTTAAGGCAGTCGATCGTATCACTGTCACTGTCCTGTTTTTCTGGCAGTTCTTTTACACGATGTCAAGTAGCAAGTCTTCAAATGTTATCGTTCTCCTGCTGGCACAAACAATGGTAAGTTCTTGAGAGTTATAGTCTGAAAGGCAGCTCATGTCAACCAATGATCTAAGAGGCCCAGTTTTAAAGTAATCCGCCATCTCAGGAATATTGATAGGTATAACGTCACTCTACAAATTTTGATTTATTGAGAGCAAGAGCTCAACTTTGTGGGAAATCTCCAAATGATGTTCTGATTTTGGTTTCATTGGTGATACAGAAATTTTGGAATGACACATTGTGTAGGGAGAGTTGTTAGTTCTACCCATTTTCTAATCTTTTTGTGAACTTTTAGCAATATCTAAAAATTTTACTTGCCTAAAGGCCGTTTCATACTTCAAAGCAAAAATGAATTCGAATTTGTGACGTCTGATCAAATATACGTGTTACAAATTCACAAAAGTTGAACACATTGCAACTCACCTCGAATGAAATTTTGCTGCCAAGTTTTTTGGACATTAAATTCACTTTGCTGTCAGATTCGCTGAAGTATGAACCGTCCTTAATGCAGCAGTATGTAGGTGGTTTTTTTTCCACTATTCAGTCAACTGGTGATGGTGTCACAGATTACTCTGCTTATTTTGTTTCCATCTTCCTATGGCAGGGCATGTACTTTGTTTCCTCGGTGCTCCTAATGCGTATGAACATGCCACCTCAGTACCGCGTCATCATCACAGAGGTACTGGGTGATCTTCAGTTCAACTTCTACCATCGTTGGTTTGACGTCATCTTCCTGATCAGTGCGCTGTCCAGCATTGCTTTCCACTACCTGGCCCACAAGCAGACACCAGAGAAGCAGATGCATACGTGATAGCCAAGGCAAAGGATGAAGCATGTTTCAAGTTGTGTAGCATTTCAAGCATATCTGAGGTGGTAGAAACCCACAGTGGCCGTTTTATGGACCTTGAGAGTAAGCCACGCCTACATCTACTGGCTATGATGGTAGCAACAGCCACATCCATTGGCAGTGGCTACAGCAGCTTGCCAAAGGCTTCCCTATTGTTAATTTGTCTTTTATCCAGTCATATCCTTTCATTTGGACATGGCTTAACTGAACCTTTTATACAAATACAGAATCATTACCTTTATTCACATGAAACAAAAATTACCAGTCAAATTAAGTAACACACAAGTCAAAAGACCTTACCAATAATCAGGTCGATTTTTTTACAAGTGACAATAGCAGTGTTGTTATATTCAAATGAAACTAGCTTTTAAATGTGAAGCTGTACTGACTTTGCTCATTCACTATTTTCGCCGTGAGGAAGCGTTTACGCCAGCCAAGGAGCTGCCATTTTGAATTCAGTGCATATTTGTAGGACATGCTAGAAAGAGATGAAGCTCATTCCAGATGATCTACTCTGAATGCAGCATGCAAGAACAAGTTTTGCCAATAACATACATCACATTTTTAAGTATAATTCTACAATTAAGTACAATTGCATGCCGTGGAAATGTTCCCCAGAAAAGCATAACTCGTGTTAATTGATAGTGCGTTCAGTTCTTCCACTATCATTTGAGAATATAGACACAGAAATGCAGATAGTCTGTGCAAAAAATGTAACATAATTAGGGTTTTTCATAGGTGTGTGGGCAAACATGAATATGCCTAGCAGGCTTCACTTTGTACGGTCAGTCAGCTCTCAAGTAACTTCGTGGTCCAAAGTAAATGAAGGAATTAAACACTTATAACTGGTCATGTGACCTCAACTAGTGTCAGGTCAAAAGCTCTTCCTGTCCAAGCACATTGTGTGTCTCAGTGGGACTGCCCCACATGGCTTAACAGCGGCCGTTTATTCTGCAGTTAGTTGCCTAGTATGCCATGTTCCCATTGGCCTTACACATGTTGTACTTTGATGCATCTGGCTGGGTTAGAGTTGACTTTTCCACTATGCATGCTGTCTTTCACTTGTGTCTGGACTGTATCTGAGATACACCAAGGCAAGTAATCCCAATGGCAGCAGGACTGCCCGTAACAGGAATGCGAAGTCCTAACTGCCAGTCTTGTCATAAATCCAACCTGTGAAGACACATGAAGCAGAGGACGCTGTTATGAATCTCTCATTTTTTTTTCCTGTGTTAATCGCATTAAACTTGAACACAAGTTCTAAGCTGTGTCACTGTGGTAATGGACTTGTTACTGTTTATTGTCTACAAGGTCTCCACATGCCCCCCCATGTGCTAGCAGTGTGACATGAAGTCCAACAGACATATATAGCATCACAAACGAGAAAAGTTCACACACTACTCTGCACTTTGTCTTTTGTGGCAAACTCTTGATGGGTCTTGATGTCATTAACGGTCAATTCAGACACTGGTGAATTTGGATGAAATGACTCCTTGACTCCTCGTCAGCAAACAGCACGTCGATCTCTCCTACTGACTTATGAGGCAAAACCCTCTGCATCGGTAAACAAGATGCCCAGAGAAACCACTGAGCAACAGGTGAGTACCATGTTAGCCGGACAGGAAAACATGAGTCAGTAAAGGGGTACGCTGGCAAGATATTTAATATTAGGACTAGTGGCCGACACTAGGTGTGGTGTAGGCCTATTCAGCGTCAGTGAAGAAGATGTCTAGATCTGCCTCACGGGTGACTGAACGTTGACTAATCCAAGACGATCAATTAATTGTTCTGGAGTGCAAAAGCTGACCCACGTTTTTATTTTGCAAATGTTTTTAATCTCTTATTCGATGTGACATTTGCATGGAGTGAAAGGTGGATTTTGGTGGCCACTCCGTTTGTTGGCTACATTTTCAAGGTGTGTCATATTCAGAGTAAAGGCCTGACAGTGCAGTGACACATCAGCTATCTGGAGAAAGTATGTTCTCATGCTAAGGTTTGGTTGGAGAAGGCTAATTGATCTGTCGACTCCGGCAAGAGCTCGGTAGCCTACACTCTGCAAACTTCTTGGAATCCAAATTTTGACATAGCAAGTCCTAATTGTTCGTTAACGGAGAACTGGTGACGAACGGCACTCATAGCATGGTCGAGATTTGTCGAAGCGGCCTGAAATTGCTGCACTGTCTGGTCTTGGTCTAGAAGTTTGTCAACGAAAGAGTAAATCCGCCTTTGCATATTTCCTTGGCCTGCTGCCACTGTCATTCCAAGCTTTGTTTCAAACACCAAGACACAACAAAGATAGTGCAAACGACCAGCAAGCAAGCAAGTGTGTGTGGGAAATGGGTCCGTGTGCGTGTCGTTCATTCGTTTTTCGACTGAAAACGAAAAAAATTAAAAATAAATCGTTTTCTGTTTTTTATTTAAAATCGAAAAACGAACCAAAAATTGCTTTTCGTTTTTCAATGAAAACAGAAATCAAGGAAAAAGACGAAGAAATCATTTATGTTGGAACTGAATAACAAAAACAAAAGCATTTTGTTTTCTATTTAAATTTAATCCCAATTTCGTTTGACTACACACGTAATTTCAAGGAGGCGTCACGTCTCTGAGTACTTCTCAGGATGAAAGTTGACGCTCAGAATACCAAAAAATCCTTGTGGGTTGCACCTTTTACGTCAGAGGCAACAAATTCCTTGTATTCCTCTAGTTCGGCCATGTTTCATTTAGTGGGTTACAAAGACATTTCTTACATTACAACGTGAAAATGGAACCGTTTTTCATTCTTTATAAAGTGGATCAATAGATTATGATGTTAATACTTAATTTCACATTGAAAAACAAAGAAAGAACATGATTGTCTTTTTTCATTTTTAACAGAAAACGACTTGCTTCTCTGTTTTCTCATTTTATGTTTTAAATCGAAAAACGACTCGTTTTTCAATTCTCATTTTTAAATCGAAAAATGGAAAACGACTTGTTTTTGGTCGTTTGATTTTCGTTTTCAAATCGAAAAACGAATGAACGAAACGTACACGGACCGAAATGACGAAATCGTTGGTGGTGTCGCAAAGTGGCAAAGAGCCACGCACAATTCATTGACTGACTGGCATATTGTAACGTAAGAAAAACATAAAGGGAACCAGGGAAGTTTTAAAAATCCTTTATACTGCGCACGCGACGCGCCAGTTTTTCTGCAGTAATGCTTCGCTCGCCACCCAGCGCAGGAACAAGGCGCTTGCAAGGGATGATGTGCAAGCGTGGCATACATTGTGTGGACCCTGCACGAAAGAAGTCCACATAATGTAGGGTGCGATGGCGTTGTGTGGACTGGCACACGTCCACACAATGTTTTCCCTCTCTGAAAAACAGTTTTAGAGGCATTTGGGGACAAGGTTGTTTTTGGCAAAATGAAGAGGAACACTCCAGGAACTCATCATCAAAAATCCAGCTCGAAGGAGTTTTCTAGTTGGAGAAAAAGGAGCATTCTCCTCAGGTTTCCTTAACCGTAGGAGAACAAAGGAATGTCCACAAAGGAATGTAAAACAGGTGTGGGTGGCCTTGCGCAGACTTTAGTGAAGGAAATGCGTCGCACGGATAACGACTCGAAGAGTATTGTGGTCGGCCTATATTTCTGCCAGGCGCGCGAGCTCGCTCAATGCGTTACACAAGCGGCGGTTGTCAATTTGATAGTTTTTCTTTTTCTTCCTTATTTCTGAGAAAAAATCTCACTACACTTTATTTGTTCAACCAAAATTGATCAAGATAACCAATGAATTGAAACGTATCGCCAAAAGACACGTGATCTCTGGTATTTTAGTGGGAAGACACATTACCACACTGGGATTGTTAAGGCCGTGTCTTTATCAACACTTTGCCCGTGCTAAAGCATTTACCATTGGCGAACCAAAAACTTTAAATAATGAAGTGATAACCTCGCTCGCGGTTGTAGGTCGAACACAATATAGCCAATCACAGTGCAAAGCCATCAGCCCTTCCCATACAGAGCCCCCCCCCCCTGCCGGGCGACAAGCGAGCAGTAATGCAGGATCTGCCAACCTCGATTTATCTTGTCCCATTTCGTGCACACATGGACTGACAGGCACCGTAATTGAACGCTTCCTCGTTGCGCCGTCGATTCAACCTTCTCTGCACGTAGCCTCCTACAACTTTGCCCCTATTTTTTAAGTGTAACTGCAATGAAGTTTCTTGGACACAATTTATCTTCAACTGTGTATTCTTCAATGTTCGAAAACTCTTTTACAATCATAATTGGATAAAACACATCGAAAAGTGAACTTTTTGTAACAGTTAAAATAATCCACGCTTAATTTCCTGGACAACTGGTGGCGCTGTTGTTGTGAAGTCATCTGGAGAAGTAATGGCTCAGAACACAGGTGTTTCTGTTCAACTTTTGAACCCAGAATTTACCTACTGGAAACATTTCTGAGAGAGGGATCAATGCTTGCTTATGCGCACATGAACAACAATGAATCAGCAAAGAAGAGAAAATGAGTCCACCAAATTCTACAAAAATTCATTGAGGCTTTCCTCCTGAGATAATACCACCGTTTTGCTCATGAATGTAGAAATATATTCATCAGCATAAAACCCCAAAAGGCAGTAATGTAATCTTTGAAATAGCGAAACAACAGTTGAAAATAAAATTACCTGCGGCACAAAGGTGCATTTGAAGGTTTGTATTAAAACAAATTGATTGCAGCTACCCTTTAAGTTCATCCACCATTCAAAACATGCAAGAGGCAGTATGCAAGATGAACCTTAGCTTGATCAAGAGAGGACGCTATTTTCCGAACATGAAAAGCACGCGTTATGGTTGCATTGCAATTTATTCCCAATCAACGGATAGAACGCTACAGAGAAACTGTTGTCACTTTGCGTGTAAATGCAAAGCATCGCGTGTGATTTCATACCTCCCAATAACAAAAAGCGTTTTGCGCAAAATTCTTTTGTGTTCTTAGTGAAGGTTGAGGCTACTTTTCTTTTAAACGGTAGCTTTCATTCGTAAGGTCCTGCTTGTACATGCCAAACTCAATGTACGTAGGCCTATCATGTTGTGGATGAGTAGAGAGTACAAGTAGACACGTCCTCGTAGCCAGCATGTCGCGAAAACCGTCAATGACCATCACCGCATTCTGCTATCTACCATGAACTCTTTTTTTGTGTTCGGCCTTTTGCACACGAGGATACTCCTTGTTTGGGCCGTACTTCCGAGCCCCTGCTAATTAGCCGGAATATAGCCTACAAGAAACTGCTTTGAACGTTCCTTCAGGCAGTATCCCATGTACACGTTTCTAGCTTATTTCACCCAAAACTGAGCCATGATGGAACTCCTTGCGTTGGGATCAAATCTTCTAGTCCATAATTGACACTGATGTAAACACGGAGGGAAGAAGCTTCCTCCTTGAAGTAGGCTAAAGCAGTTGGATTAGGCCCTACTTGTGCATTTAAAGCGCCTCAGAGAAGAAAAATCTTCATTTTTGGTCTGATGCGGATAAGCTTTACATAGGCCTACCAGCGGTAGTTACATTTGAATCCGACTACTCTGGCAGAGACGAATCGGAATTCCTGTTTTGCCATGATTTGGTACTTTTGAGCGTACTTCCAGTAACCTGAGATCGCTCATTTTATTGCCACAGATTGCCTGAGGGGCCTATGTCCGTTTACACAAGTTGACAACACTACAGACAAGCTGCGCGTAGAAAGCAGAAAACAATCGATTCTGTTGGCATGAGGGCGCTTTTTAACCTGTCCAGCTTAGCTCACATCACAGTGTATCAGTGGTTTAGCTCTGCAGTGTCCAGCTCCTGCGCTCCAAAAGGTTGCAACAATTAAGATATGAAGCCATGTCAATTCCAAGGTGTCTGCACTCGTGTTTTAAAGAGGAAGCAATCGATTAGCAATTGTCTGTCTGCCGTTTGTCCGTCACTCCTCAACAAACTATTATTGTACATTGGAACCGAAACCACGTTATTCCCCCGACACCGTGTAGCAGCTTTGCCAGTTTAATGTACGTCTACCCCCCCACAAACCTGCGATGTTTTTCACAGCAGTCAAGCTGGAACTGATATAGAGGAAAAAAACAGTCACTTGTAAGAGTGTCATGAATCAGGTCAATCTCGATCGAATGTTTGGGACAAAATGTGATGTGAAAAAATGGACACCGGTAACGGGAGAACGAAAGGAAAGGCTGGAACAGAATCTGGAAGTGGAACTGTCGGAATGTAACAAAACATACTGAAAATGGAAAGAAAACGAGAAACTTATTATGAAAACTCACTGAAGGCCAAGAATAGCGAAAATGACGACAGGAATAAGGGTACAGTCGATCGATGAAATGTCTTGCATGACATTCAAAAACACCTTGCTAGGCAAGTCATTAAAAAACAAAGAAAAATAAAATCGGTGGATTGTATTCATATTCTTCTTTCAAAATTAATTGTAGTTGATTCTGTTTAATTTGAAGTGAAAATTTGCTTTTACAGTACAAGGTTTGTGTCAACAGGCAGCATTGTGCAAGCAACTTGTGAAAGGCACGGTCATTTTGGAAACGATTTCTGAATTCAGAATACGTACGTGTAGTTCAGAAAAGATCGTTCAAGCCAGACTTTGTAACGGTTTTCAAAATCCAATACACAAACAAAGCCAATCAGCTTGTTGTAAACAGTTAATTCCCTGTTGCCACAAATGGTGCGGTCACCTGTTTATGGCCAGTATGGAGCGTCATGATTGGTCGATTCACCCGCGTTCTGACTATAACGGTTGCGTTGATTGGTTCAATGAAAAAGCCATTCTGCGCTTGTCTTGCACCGGTACGTACCTAAGCCACCTGCATAGGCAGCTGCAGTTGGGTCTAGTGCGCGTTACGTACAGGTGTGAATGTACATGTACATGGTGCTGTGTACACGCGTCAACTTGTGAACGAGAAAGTACATGTACCCACGTGGTTTCTGCCTGAATATTTTTGAAATTTAGGCTAAAGATGTCACCAGACAGAAATATCGTCTACACAGAACGTTTCTTTAGTTTTCAGGAGCGTTGAAAGTGTCCAGGAGTGAAATGACATGTCCAGGACGGGTGGTTTTTCATCATGCTATTGCGGTTGGAGCGTTGTCGGGTTACTGTTGTTGATTTCGGCACGTGTTTGTTGCGGTCAGCAAGTGGCAGATATTCAGGGTAAGTCATCCGTGCAAGAACTGAATGGTTTTTGATGTTTCGAACAATGAAAGCATTTGATAGTCTGTTTCGGTCTGAGCTCAGCAAGCGTGATAAGATTTGATAATTGTGCCACGCTGTCTGTCAGTCAATGTGAGTTTTGCTAATATCCTGAAAACATGACGAACGCGTACGAAGCAGTAGGCCTACCCAGTTCGCAGATGTTCTTTACCTGCCAAGGCTATAGTCATGATAGTTTAGAATAGTCTTGATCGATGTACCTCTAGAATTAGTGTGTAAAGGAGAACCAGGAGGCACAGGTACATAGTCTAAAGAGTGTAAAATATCTCTCGAAGAGCTACACAGTCACACTGTATTTCTACCTCATCCTGAGCCTCATCAGCTGGTTTACTAGTTGAGTAATCATTGTGTTCATTATAATTCAAATTCAAATGTGAATGGGTTTTCGGTACAACTTAAAACTCTAAAGACAGAATGACCAGAGTGCATTTGTGCATTAAACCTGGTGCATACTTACTGCAATATATGAATTTTTTGTTTGAAAAAATATATACACGGACTTGAGGTGTAAGATGAAGTTTCACCGTGTCGACTCCTGACATGGTAGCACTTGACAAAGCAGAAAAGATAAAAAGAATGCAAAGAAGAAGCACGAGGGATGGAAAATACAAGTTTCCATGAAAACGTCTTGGAGGAGACTACTGTCTCCCTTAGTCCAATAACTACATCCATGTAGGACTCCACAAATTGCTTCTTTTTAGATAGACATTGTTGGCAGAGGTGCTTTAGTTTACTGAGACTTGGTTACTCAGACAGATTTGTATGGTTTGTCTGTTACATGTATGTTAAGTTCTTTGCTCCTTTTCCCATGTGGCCCCTCAGGGTGAGCTGTATCCTTTTCCTTGTACCCTTTGTCACAATGTATATGACAACCTAAATGCCTAGCCACATCTTGATAAAGACCTGTGTATGAGTTGTTGCCATTTATACAGTCATTTTGTGTTGTGGCCTTGTTGCTCAATGCTGATCTTCTTGTTTAAGGGCATTTTTCCTGGCAACAGCCATGGTTAATATTGAAACATTTCATTTTTTTTTCCAATTTGCTCACTGACATGTAGATCATCGAACTTTTTTCACTTTGCATTTTGTGTTTATCAATTGCAAAATAATTTACTGAAGCTGAATAATGCGTGCATTTGCTATATGTGGAATTTGGCATTGATACCTGCGAGCCCTTGAAGAGCTGATCTGTAGTAGGTTTATCCTTGTGAGTGTACACTGAGTGGCTTCTGATGAGAAATTGTTGTGAGTGATATTTATAGCACCATCCCTGCGGATGTACTTGCCTTACAGAGAGATTTGAATTTAGTGTGAATGCATGTATTGGAGATTTATTTCATTTGAAGATGACGGAAATCTTTAATTCATGATGCAAGTATTTATAAACTAAGACGAACCTTCAAATAGGACAGCTTGGATTACCCAAAAGTATACTTGAGGGCCTGTGTATCTGTACTGTCTATCTTACACATATTTAGCACTTAATCCATAAACTAAGTAAAACAAGTGAAGTAAAGTTGTAAGGATGAAAATTTGTGGGTAAAATATTTGGGGAAGAGCTTCACTTCTTCACTTAAGGTTTCAGGTCTGCTGTTGGATATATCCCATTGCTGTTCTGATTTACTGTTTAGAAAAATATGAGTCCGGTAATATACCTGGAGAATATTGCCCAGTTTCATCAGATGCTTAGGAAAGGTTA